ACAGATGTACTTGCCCAGTCCCTTGGCTTTTTCACGGTTGTGGCATGGCCTGCACAGGTGCCTGGTTGAACAAAGCAAAGGAAAGAGTTTAATATTTTCTTTCTCCTAAAACAACACATAATACGTACTGTAGGAAGTACTTTCTGTAACACAACTGTATTCTAAGGTCAGACTAAACATAATTCAGTTTGGTGTCCAGTGTTTCACACTAGTTGTACAGAGAAAAATGAGCATAAAGCAGTCACGCTGTTGTATTTCTTTAGAAGACTACTCCAACATTCACTGATTTATGTGCCATCAGGGGAATCACCCAGTCATTCTTCTAGGGATCCTTTCCAACCCTCCAGATCTCTTCTGATAGCTGGGCAAGGAAAGGTAGCAACACCCTCTATCTATAACTAATGGATCCAACCATAACAGAGGCATTACAGAGCACTGGGAGGGAGTCAAGAAGAGAATAAAATGTATCAAACCAAAGTGCATTGCTTGAATGCCTTTTACCATGGCTGGATTCCTTAGTCTTCTATATCTATGAAAAACAAGAGACTTCTTGTTGTCTACAAATTCCTTTCACTCCTAAGTCAAAGAAAATGAAGAACTATGCAATTTTTTGTGGTGAAAGCAGCTGTATTCCTAGCACATGTTCTTGAACACATTACAAGTACAATTCTAAACAGGCAGATAACCCAAATTTCTGGTAAAAAAGCTCAGGCAAAGGCATAAAAAAACTTGTGAAGGCCAATGGAAGCCACCAGTTTTATCCCAATACTTCAGAGCTCTGAGGAGAAGCTGTTGCCTATTACCTATCCCTCTAGCTGCAACACTAGAATTTATGGTAAAATTTATGGCAAGAATTTATGGTAAAAGAAAAATGACAGAATGACTTCTGTGGGTTGCTTTGTCCCAAAACCAACAAGTCTGCTTCATTCCTTTCAATGTATCACTATGTCAAACACTCACTGAGATTCAGAGGTCATTCTCAAAACACATAAGACAAAAGAAAAAGTTCAAATGGAAAGGGCAGATGTATGGATTATGTAGCAGGTTCTTCACAGGACCTCTTCAAAAATTCTGCCCTGATGAATTATTTACCCTTAGGTCTGTGAAATGAGGATAAGAATACAACACATGTTGTTGTGAGGCCTCAAACATTTATGACTCTCAGCTGGCAGGTGCCTGTCTAAGTGCTAAGTATCATTATTATTTTCTCCAAATCTGAGTCCTTCTGTCAGCAAGTGTCTCTGCCCAGGGCTGGAAGCACTGTCGGCCCAGACGGAGTCCAGAAAAAGCAGACAGCACCCCATTATGAGGGAACACACAGCTGTGCTCATCTCAGCATAAAGGCATCAATTTTACTCAGCACTGTCAAATGCAGAGTAATTATACAGGGCTGGACATGGGGACCCCGAAGCAAGAATCCTGAAAGAGACCCCTCTCATTCATCTGAATGAGATGCCTTCAGCCATTTGCACTGATAAACCATTATCAACCCCCTCCCCACTCACAAACCCTCTGCCCTCCCACAGACCCTCTCTTTTGGAAGCCAAGGGAAGTGCTGGACAGGCTAAGCTGTTACCATAGCAGCCTCCCCTCTCCCTAACCCGCTCCCCCTCCCCCTCCCCACCATTATGGAATTATCCCACTCTGAAGTGTCCTGTTGTGTCTGTTAATACTAGATTTCCCCCAAACAATGCATCTCTCCACCCTCCTAAAATAATCGGGGGACTCCAAGGATCCTGTGTTTAGGGCTGGAGGTTCAGTAGCAGCCTTCAGTGAGCACCATGAACACTGGCATATTCATGCAGGATACTCATATCTACACCAGCAGCCCCAGTGCCAAGAGCTCAGCTGGGATGAAGACTGCTCCTCAGTGCTGGGGTGTCCTCTCCCCTGCTCTGCTGTGTGACTGAGCTGATAATGTGCTATCAGAGCGAAGAGGACACCATATAGAGGGGCTCCCCTCTCTGCTCTCAGCAACTCCGCAACCGTGCACTCTCTTGGAATCATCTTGTTTGCTGTGCTGTTTCTACCTAGTTTGCTGACATCAGAAGGAGTTTGAGATATTCCCCAAAAGGACCCTATACTTCACCCACAGGACGGCACTATAAAGAGGTAAGAGACCAACTTTTGTTAGTAGGAGCTTTAGGAGCTCTTTTTTTTTTTTTTTTTTTAGGAGCTTTCCTGATGGCATTAGTTTTATCTGGTGCCAATGAGGAGCAGAACACATACTGAGGCAGATGAATATAATGGAAATGTCTGAATCTAAGAACAGACTGCATTTTCTGAACTTCCAAGAATAATTTCCTCGCCTTTATGTCACTCCTTCAAAACAAAAAAGGTTTTCAAACTTTTGTACCTAATGTATATCCATTTGTGCCAGTTGTATGGTATGTCTAGTGCTCTCTGACACTGCTATGACGCTCACAATAACCAAGTATTTCAGCTGAAATACAGGCTCAGCAGAGAGTGATTTTCAGGAGAAAAACTTCAGCCAGAAAAGGATTATTTCTAATGAAGGGTACTTTGAGTGAAAGATAGGCACTCATTTGGCAAGATACTAAAGTCATAATTATAAAAACACACAAACCAGTATAATCATACCAGAAACTGCTCTGAGAGGAAGAAAAGGAATTTCTGACCTACCTCAAACCTTAACATAAAGGTCAGTGGGCAAACAAAAGCTCCAAACTAGCCAGGTAATTGTGTACAACGAGCTAAAGTTTTCTCCTGCTAGTTCTTTCATTAATGACAGATAGAGCATCTGCTGAAAGAGTGATTGCATTATGTCCACACTGCCAGCTTTGTGGATTGTTCTTTGCTTGTTTCTGAGCAGAAGAGAAACAGGGCATGAAATATGGTCAGTGTGCACGCATGTATTTCAAATGAGCAGTGACATCCCCATTTCAGCTCAGCCCTGGGAGGCCTGGGATAATGGCTCATTCCAGAACAGTGCTCTGTTCAGCAATACGTAAATCACTAAATATTCACACAACATCAAGAGTGCAGTCCAAGCAGAAATTACTGGATAATGAGCCAGACTCCTAAAGGAGTTTTCCGTCTGTGGAATGAAAGCCTCTTGCACCATACAGCTTAACACAGACTAGACATTATAGGTCATTTGTGAAGGTTTCTAGTTTGCTCTTACATTTATACAGACTATAGGAATCTCAGTGATTTGTCTGTAAAAATAAAAAAACCTAAACACATTTATTTTAAATTTATAGGATAAACCCAAGGAGAATAGGAGTGGAATTGCAAATAACTGCAAAGGGCTTTTAACACCTTCTAGAGAACACCTTCATTTAACACTGTCAGAGAATTATTACTTTTCTACAGCTGTAGAATTCTGTTGAAAACACGTAAAGTCTAAAAATAAGCCAAATAATTTATTCTAGTGACATGCTGGCTTTTTTCTGAACCTACTCAAGTGCTACACCACTATTTTCACCCATTAGCTAGAATTACAAAAAAACCCATAAATTAGATAACAGCAGCTATCCTATGAAGGCCATCATTTGCAAAGACTGAAGCTATTTCAATTTCATCATTAGTTCTAAGCCTCTCTCTTCCTAACACTGACATGCTGGGCTTCCAGATCGCTGTGAGTCTCCTTCCTACTCCAACCCACAGGATTTTGCACTGAAAGCATGTCTGTATAGAAATCCACAGCAGACTTCACATGCTGGGCTTCCAGATCGCTGTGACAGTCTCCTTCCTACTCCAACCCACAGCATTTTGCACTGAAAGCATGTCTGTATAGAAATCCACAGCAGACTTAATGTTGTCATCAGTGAGGATAAAACTCTCAACTTTGAAGTCTTGCTTATTCTAAGTCTGGCACTGACATGCAGCTGAATCTGAATTTCCAAGATCTGCCTCAGGAAATCAACTCGAATCAGTTCAGTGTATCATGCTGTTAAACCCCTAATAATTAGCTTTTAAACAGGGAAAAGTCTGCTTACTCCTTCACTTTGGGAATGGATTTAAAGCATTATCACTAAGACAAGAGCCATCCCAGTCTGTTCCATCAGACAATCCTGCTTTTTCAGCTGCTCCACCCAGCGTTTACTGCTTGCTCAGGTGTCACAACCATGGCCAGAGCAACCTCCATCAGACAATCCTGGTTTCTGCTTTTTCAGCTGCTCCACCCAGCATTTACTGCTTGCTCAGGTGTCACAACCATGGACAGAGCAACATTTAGCCATAAGACTATCCCTGGCAGGTGTGTACACAAAGATCACCCGATTTACACTTTTTGCAGATGAAAAGCATAATTAAACAATGGGCCTGACACGAGGAAAAAAAAAGGGTTAACAGCTAGAACATGAGGTGATAAGCACCATCATAAATTAACAGCCAGTAAAAAGGCATGTGTTTCCCTTTTCTATCCAACAGAAAAATACATATTTAAACCAATTCCATCCAGGGAGGACATGTATGTGAGTCAATGTTACTACCCCATACAGATTTTAAACTCTTGGGTTCAAGAATACTTGCAGGTTTTACTTTGTAAGGGACAAATGCATAATAAAAACAAAAAATTGCAGTCTCCTCTGTAAACTTGTGACCTTCACACACAAAAAAATTCAGTAGGGTGTTTTTCTTTTGTATGTAAAAGCACAATTTCACAAGTATTTTTACAGATAAGAACAAAAAGGCTGTACAGTCTTCTTTGCACATGCAATTGCAAGTAATGGCAAGATAGCAACTTGCTATAAATACTCAAACCCAGAAGGGTATCCAGGCAATCAATGCATGAAGTAAGAAGGGCCCTCTGTGGCCATAGGAAGAACTTCCAATTTTCTGAATTTCATCCAGTTTCCCTACTGTTGACTTTGTCTCTTCAACTGTGAACCAAACAGGAGTGACCCAGCACATTACTCTCCAGATATTCCAGTTTTCTGTTCACCTGAAAGTAACAGCAGCCAAACTGAAGATACTAAATTACCTTGGAATTTTCTTACATTTTCCAACATATTTGTTCATCCTTAATCCCATTTCAGTTCTCTATGATCCCAATATTTGTAGGCACCTGAACAATGAGTTCTGCTGGGGAGCTGGATGCAGTACATAATGGATGTATTTAAAGATGCATTGAATACTATGGAGAAATGGTCAGTACAAAATGCAAGCATGAGCTGCACAGACTGCAACACTTCTGAGGAATCCAAGTAATAGAGACAATGCTGGAGTTTCAGACCACCTGCATTTCCCTATCACCTATACCCACAGACAAGCAATGTATAAAAAGCCATGGGTAGGTGCTCAGAAAACCCTATCACACTTCTTGTTGATTCTGTTCAGGACATTGCAAACAGAGACTGCAAAGCTAAGACCAGTTTTGCTAAGCTTCTACTTGGAAAAGGCCCTGGATAAGCTGCAGTGGACCTCAGGCTTTTGAGGCAGGAAAAGAGAGCTGTGGTGGAAGATAAAAGCTGCAGGGAAGGATGACACTTTGAGAGGTGACTGACAGCATGGGCATTATTTAAAATTTTCCCTGGGTCAATTCAGTGTCAAAAGAGATGTTGCTATCCATCTGAAAAGTTTCCTCCTATATTGGAACTAGGTGTATTTGCCTTAAACACAGGTCTTTAAACTAAAATAACACTCAAAGGTTTTCAGGAATCCTATGTTTGTTTGTTTGGTTTATTTTTAATAACAGCAATATTTGACCTTTTATCTCTTTTAAAAACAAGACATATTCTAAGCTAGATCACCTTACAACAGATACCTGTGCTCAGAAAAGCTAACTTATCAGGAACTCCTCAGTCCTGAATCAGGCTTTCAAATTGAAGCATGGCAAATACTTTCTAGTTAGATATACAGAGCTCACTCCTGCTCCTCTTAACCAGACACAAAAGCATCTCACTACCTGGTTATACAACTGACCTCAGCACAGGCTGGAGACAAACTCATCACCAGCTAGCCAGCTCTTCACTGGGGTTCCTTCCATGGGAATTACTGCTCTGGTAAACCCAGCTGAGCAGAGAGTATTCAGAATTCTAATATAACATTTCAATTCAGACTGACCTGTCATACCAAACATCATACCAAACACTGCTGCTAGCAAACAGGAGACATTGCTGACTTTCATGTGTGGGTTTTTCAGTCTTTTTGTTTGTTTTTTTTTTTTTTTTTTTGTTTTATTTTCCACAAATCCAGGCTCTTCTGTAACATAATGTCTCAATTTTTTCACATTTAGGGCTTTTTCTTCTTCAGAACTGTGGGGAAAAATGAACGGGCCTGCAGCTTCGAGCCTGCTCCTCAACTGCTCAAATCAATCAAATTTCAGTTTGGAAACATCAGAGCAATGTGGCAAAGAGACACACCTTGAAAACATGGTTTTTGCCACTTTCTACTTTCTGGACTTCATCCTGGCTTTTGCTGGCAATGCCCTGGCTCTTTGGCTTTTCATCCGGGACCAAAAGTCAGGCACACCCGCCAACATTTTCCTGATGCATCTTGCTGTGGCTGACCTGTTCTTTGTGCTGGTACTCCCCATCCGGCTGGTGTACCATTTTTCTGGTAACCACTGGCCATTTGGTGAGATCCCATGCAGACTCACCGGCTTCCTTTTTTACCTCAACATGTATGCCAGTATCTACTTCCTGATGTGCATCAGTGTTGACCGTTTCCTGGCCATCGTGCACCCGGTGAAGTCCATCAAGCTCCGCAGGTCCCGCTATGCCCACCTGACGTGTGTCTTTCTGTGGGTCATCGTTGGGGTGGCCATGGCACCTCTGCTGCTCAGTGTGCAGACTGTTCAGATGAAAAACACAACTGTCTGCCTGCAGCTCTACAGAGAAAAGGCCTCACGCCACGCCCTCGTGTCCTTGGCAGTGGCATTCACCTTCCCCTTTGTGACTACTGTGACTTGCTACTTACTCATCATCCAGAGCCTGAAGAGTGGGAACAGAGTTGAGAAACACCTGAAGGAAAAAGCTGTCAAAATGATCATCATGGTCCTGATGATCTTTCTAATTTGCTTTGTACCTTACCACGTGAATAGGTACATTTATATTCTCCATTACAACGGGACCAAAGCTTCCTGTGAAACGCAGCGTCTCCTGGCCCTCAGCAACCGCATCACCTCCTGCCTCACCAGCCTCAACGGGGCCTTTGACCCCATCATGTATTTTTTTGTAGCTGAGAAATTCCGTGAGGCTTTGTGCAATCTGTTTTGTATCAAAAAGACCATAACGTTGCCTCAAACATATGAGGGTAAGACAAATGAAAGCTCACTAAGTGCTAAATCTGAACTGTGAACATGACTCTTGTCAGTGTCAGTGCTTCGTCTTAAGAACACTCTCTTCCACCAAAATCAGCTGAGAGCACAAATGTGCAGCAAGACAGTCCAACCAGAGTCAAACTCATCCTGAGACGGGAAGTTCTGTTGTTTTTATGCGGCTGCCATTAACAAGAACCCCTCGACCATAGAGAACATGTGTGTTTGTATTGCTGAAACTGCAAACAGAAGGACAGTTCTTCTGGTTTCCAAGGAATGAAACTGAGGAATAAGGAAGTGGACAGTGAGGAAAATGGACCCATGTATTTATTTTTTTTTCAAAGAATTGAGTTCCCAAAGCACTCTGCACAATGCTTACAGCCTTATTTAAAATTTTACATTGTGCCAACATAGAGATCCACACCTGAGATAGACCTGTCTGATGAAAAAACCTCCACATTTGCACATCTTGTTCAAGTTTCTGAATTCAAAGTGTTTATACGTAATAGAGAGAAAATTGATACTAAATGGTGACAAGAAAACAAAAAGATCTGAATGAAGCAATAAACCCAGTCTGGACAGGAATTAAGACAGAAAAGACTCCTAGCTTTAAGATGGTTTACAGTTCTTTTTTGTGACTTATCTAGCAAGACTATTCCTTCACTATGGATATGTAGGGATTATTGTTACTCTCACTGATACAAATGGCATCCAGCAAAACATGCCTGGTACAATAAAAAGGGGAAAATAAGAACACACGAGTTTCCAATATTTACTAGAAGACTGCTTCAATGCTATGGATATAAACATTATAGGTGAAATGACAGGTGAAATATATTGTTACAGAGATACACACACCTATCTCTCTGCTATGCTTTGGGAACGAGTTCTTTACCATTTGAGATCTGGTCTACAAATAACAAAATAAAACATACTTTATATTGCTTGAACTGCTTTTATCCTGACTGCTTTCCCAAAACACCCTAAGTGCTATTCCAACAGCCCATTCTAGCAAGATGAGATGTCAAAAGAAAATCAATTATGCCCAGCTTAAAAAACTAAGGCACAGAGGTTGCACACAGTAGGAAAAATAAGAGGGAGTTGAGAGGACTGCCTGCTGGACAGATACAAATATGTGACCTTTTCTTCCTTCCTTCACCATTTAGTCAGTGAAAATATAAACTCTAGGAAACTACTAGGCTTTGTTCAGAACATATGAAAGCCTAAAGTTAACTCTGAATTGTGCAACACTGTCTGCTAACTGCTGGATTGTTTTACTTTCTTATAATGATATGCTTTTGTATAAGCTCTCTTTTGTATTTTTATTTCTTATTTCTGAATTAAATGCATTAATCAACTTCTAGGATTCATTTTGTATTTCTGTATTTAAAATGAATGATTTCCAAAGACCAGTGGAATCACAGGCTGAAAAGACTTTGCTGTAATCATTGTGTTATTCTTTCAGCCTTTTGCTACATCTTGATTTCCTGCTCAGCAGCTTACTTGATAAACAGCCTGCCTGAGATCATATAATCCCTTTTTCTCACTTGTTAGGCAGCCTTCTGCTTGAAATCCCTTTCTTTTCCAAAACACATTCACTAGCCACTAAAATTTGAGTTTCTTGTTGGAAGCAAGAACATATTTCATTGGATGAAGAACTCCTCAACAAGTTATTCCTAAACTAACTGACCACCCTCAGCATCTCACAGCTGTATCAATAACACACTGATAAAACTTTCTGACCCCCTGCTCCCTCTTACCTGCCAGCATTCTTCACAAAACCCAGGTCAGCAAGGGTTACGTCGCAGAGCTCACAGCGGAAGCATTCTGGGTGCCAGTTGTTGTTCATTGCCTTGATAACACGCCCAGTAATGAACTCACCTGCAAAAGGAAAGCATGAGATGCATGCAGAAAACAGTCTTATCAAAATCTACCGTCCTTCACAGTCCTTCCACTTTAATTCCATAATTACTATTACAGTCTAACTTTGAAAAAATCCCAAATTATTCCCACAACCAGGATAACCCAAAATCACTGCCAGTGTCATGCTTTGTTCTCACCCAGAGCTCCTGACTCCTTAAAACAACCCCAGCCCAAGGCTGGATGTCCCAGCAACACTGCGAGCTTTGCACAGCCCTGCAGCTGCAAAGCCCTGCTGTGGATATTTGCCACTTCTTACCACATTCCCCGCAGCAAGGAGCAAACAGCATCTGGAAGTCATGCTCACAGTACTTCCTACCTTCAAACTGCAAACAAAACAAGAGAGGAGTCCTCGTGAATAACTGAACTACTTTTACATCCTGACAGTGCAGCATGATTTTCCATTGATATGACCATTTAGTCAAGGTCAGTCACATCTTCCAGTTCTAGCCCCCTACACACCTGTTTTTCAACTCCTAAAGGTTCTCATTAAAGAAATACCTACATATGGCTTCAGCCTCATGGTGAATTTGCACAGCTAAATTAATAGCAACGCTGCTACAAGACAGTAAAAATCCTGAACACCCCAATCCTTTTATTATAGTTGCCTTTAATTTCATTTTTGCTTTAATTCAGTTCAAAACTACTATTCCTCTTACACGAGGCTAAAACTCACATCAAAATAAAATACAGCAAGTTTAAACCAATGTGTTAATCAAAATATGTGTTTGTGCATATTCTGTAAAGAAATTCAACCTAGCTTTTAAATGGGTTCACTTATTTCAGTTGCCCAAGTGGAACGGTTTAGTACAGTATGTCTAAAAATAAAGACAAAAAATCACTTTTGTCTAATGAAATATCAAGGCCAAGTTAGACAGTGCTTTGAGCAACCTGGTCCAGTGGAAAGTGGCCCTGCATGATGATTTGTAAGGTCCCTTCCAACCCAAACCATTTTGTGATTCTGTGATGATTAACAAAACACTTTTTATTTTCTTTTTGAAATGCGTCTTACCCAAAGAGCAGCTTTTGCTGTTACCAAAGGAATATGTGAGAAGAAAAAAAGAGAAAGTAAGTTGGAAGCTCCTCAAAAAAATGGCAACAAATATTTAGGGCTAAGAAATTAAACACGCAAGAAAGCTGAGAATTCCTTGCATTTTACCAGAGCTCTTTGTCTTCTCTCCCAACCAGTCTGAGAACCCACCTCATAGAAGAGTCCCTCTGGGAACTGCCGGAAGCACTGAGCACAGACAAAGCAGCTCTCGTGGTAGAGCTCCCCATTGCTGTTCACAATCCTCTCCGCAGGGTCGAACCGCGCCTGGCAGCGCTCGCACACGGCGTTCGCCAGAGCATCAGACATATTACTGCAATAAAGACAAGAGCATTTACTTTACAAAGATTCCAGCTGCTTTAAACTCCCTTCTACGTGAAAACCAAAAAGATCAATGAGTCACTGACATCGGTTAGAAATAAGGTTCTGACAACTCATACGTGGCAGATGAGGTCAAGTAGTAGATGTACCTATTGCACACTTTTGGCTACTTCACCAAAATTTCACCCCACTACATCAACCTGCTAATAGCTCATAGCAAATACCCACAATTTTTCACAAACCAGCAGTTTGGAGAGCAGCAAACCCAATGATCCTGACTTCTTGGGCCTTCTGGTCTCAGGATGTGGATTTTCTGACATGTAACAAGCACTGATATCTCACTGCACTCTCCCCTGCACGGTCAGCAGTAACAAACCATTTCCCCCTCTACAGGCCCTTGTCCTCCTGACAAATTAGTTCAAACTGCCAAAGTGTTACAAAGCTATGGGCAGGGAGAAGTCCCTCTAGCTGTCATGGCCAACACCTCAGCTTCATTTCCTCAGAGCATGAGGCTAAACCCTGCCCCAAGCCACACTTAAAAAAACCACATAACATTTCCTCAATCTACCCTAAAATAAGGAATCACCCTAACCTCTTCCACAAAGTTTTCATGCTTGCCAGCATGCTAATGTAAGTTAATGCAGTTTTAAAATGTATGCCACATGCACAAACCAGGAAGGAAAAATTATCAGGTACGTCTCAGTTTCTTTTTGCAGTGTGATCTTGCTTTTAACCATCAGACTATCCAACAGTATAAAACCTCAATATTATTACACCTTTAGTTATAGAAAAATTGTTTTATGCCTTCTGGACACCTTTTGAATTCCATGATTGGAAAGACTGCAATTTTATAGGCAGAAGTATAAAAAATTGCTACCATGTTAAAAAAATCTCCAAACTACTTGTATAGTATTTTTCCTGAGGTAGGTAATGTATGCATAAAATGAAAGACAGCTTGCTTTACAAGGCTTTTTTCTTTCTTTTTAGATTCAAAGTTACTCTGAACTCATTTTCCACTGTTAATGTTACTCAATAACCCAACGTGCTACTTTCCACACCTCCTCATGGAGAACAGTAATTCAAGAAGCTTTTCCAAGAGCAGAAGATTCTCTTTCCTCTGGTCAGAGACATGCCCCCCAAAACCAGGCCAGTGTCTGTATTCCAGGGCTTTGTGCCCTGAGCACAGCTGGAACGAGCAGGGAGCAGCCTCACACTCCTGAGGCAGCACAACCAGCCCCGACTCCAGCTGGCTGGGCTGAGCCAAGTGTCTTTCCTCTGCAGAGGGGACACCTAGGGCCCATCCTAGGCTGTGACCTAGAGCAACCCCTCAGTAAAACCGCTTTCTTTCTAGGCTGCAATTCCAAGGGAGGCAAAAACCAAGACATAGCACAATAGTTCCAAGAATGGAGTACCAATTTAGCAAAAATTTGTTACAGCTTGTTTCCTTCTTGCAGTACAAAGGATACATTAAAAAAACCGACATGGACTGGAATTAGGGACAAGAGGAAATCCTGCAATTTCATAAACTAGAGATCATAGGCTAAAGAAATATTTTTTATCCTGACACAGTACCAAGGGAATAGGTCAGCACAAAAGCATCAGTGTTTGCAGCAAAGCCAACACCTAATCAGCTTGGTTTTCAGTCACCACTCTTCCAGCTACAACACACAAATCTGTACCAGGACTTGAAAATATAATCTTCCCTTCAAGTATTTTTTCCCTGTTGAAAAATTCAGTTCCTAAATTTCAAGACTTGAGCTAGCCAACAGCCAAGATTAATAACGACTGATGTCATCATAATGAAAAATCTCCTCTAGGAAAAAAAAACAGGTAAACCAGCAAGTATTACATGTTAGATACTAACAGCAAAAGCACCATCTTGTGTTTGTGGGTTTTTCCCTTTACAAACATGAAGTCAACATTTTAAAAAAACTTAATTTTCTTTCTTTTTTTTTTTTTTTTTCTCCAAAGGGATCCACCAGTGCCAGTAACAACATGCAGGGTGAACTCTGCTAGAGCAGCCACCTCCACAACAGCATTTCACAACAACTCAAGCCTGCAACCTACACAGCCACATTCCTGCATGAAACGCAGGGCAGCTGTGACCCTGCACACCGGGCACTGAAATGCAGGGCAGCTGTGACCCTGCACACCGGGCACTGAAATGCAGGGCAGCTGTGACCCTGCACACCGGGCACCCCAGGAGGGATTCCCACACAAGTCCCACGGCTGTCTTGGTAAGAAAAATAATGATGACACAGGGACTTCCCTGATGTTGATGCTGCTGCTGACAAGATTTCCTCAAAGGCATAAGAAAGATGATCATGATACAGTCTGAGCTGTCCCCACAAATGAGCTAATAAGTGTGACTCATTATGCAGATGAGAGAAACTATTAGTCCAGTAAAATATAAATGAAAGAACCAGTATTAAAAAAAAAAAAAAAAAAAAAAACAACCAACAAAAAACAACTCAGTTCTCTGCCTCAGCTGAAACTTTTGGGAAGAGTCAGAGTACAGGAGTCAAGTGAACCACATCAGCTCCTGACCAATGTATCTCCTGTAATGCAAATCAGCAGCTATGACTCTTTGACAATCCACACCAAGAGGTTTTGCATCCTTGCTCGTTTTCCATTTTTAACTCTGCATCCGTTTTCACTTAAGACATTTTATTGTTTTGCACTCAAGCTACAATCTGCCACTTCAGCATTGCCCTAAAGATATGACTTTGCATTTATTCAAAGGTTTTACTTCAATATTTGCCAATTTCTTAATTTCCTCTGAGTACACACCCCTCCATGCCCTCCTGTTTATACAAAACCAAGCATTTTTTCAACTAGCTCAAGTTTAAAATTAACCAAAGCTGGAAGGAAGAGGGAGCACTTTGCTAATTCACAGCAATTTTATGGTTCAGTTTACTACACTGCTGCAAAAGCACTTCTGCTGGCAGCATAGGGAAAGGAAGAGTAACACCACAACCATCCTTTTGAAAAGTTTGACTTGCTGTGCCACTCATCAGATATGTACACCCAAATCTTTCCCACAAAGGACAATCCCCAATATAAAGTGCTTCTTCTATTCTGTTTGCTCACTGATTTTTTGCTATTCAGTAAAATAAAGAATCTTCCTCTGTTTTAACAATAAACTGGTGACACAAAGACAGGAAAGGCTGTTAAAACACGATGAGATCAGCATCCTGAAGTTATCCTGTCCTGCACAAACCCAAAAAATACCAGCATTGAAACAATGCTTTCCCAAATCTCTCATCATTATGTGTTGTATCTTTAACAGATTATCTTTGACAAAGTACCTGATTTACAGAAATAATATTTTTACCATTATAACTAAGTTTCCCATGCTTTGAATTCTCAGAAGTATTTACTCTAAAGTACCAGCATAGGTCTCAAATGAAAGAAAAAAACCCACGAAACCAAAAAAAAAAAAA